GCGCCGTTCCTCGGGCTGGGTTGGAGGTGAAACCTGCGGGAGCGAGGGTGCTGCCGGCACGGTGGCGCTGCAGCGGGGTATTGACCGGGAGCGGTGCTGGGGTACGCGTTCAGCGTGACACCAGCGCTTTAAAATCGTTCCACAAAGGCGGCCTGGCTGAACACCAGACGTCCGACGTTTGATTTGCCTAAAGCTAAGGGGTTTCAGCAGTTGGCATGGTGCGTAGGTCCCAGCTCGTTTATAAAAAAGAGCTCAAGCTCTCTAACCGCCTCCGCTGCTCCGTGGGCAGCCTGTCTTTTCCAGCCGACGTTGCTGGGGGAGGGAGGGGGCAGGAAATAGAGAGGACTCTGTTCTAAACGCTTGGCCAGAGAAAGGGTTTGAGGTTTCCTCTCTTTGCAACTGGCAAGTGTTAGCCAATGCAGCGGGTAGAAGGGCTTCCTCCAGGCAATCTAAGTCTTGAGTTATTCTCCCCCCAAAAGAAAAGTCGCTGTTGTGGGACAAATTCTCACTATTTTACCTGTTGCTGAAGGGTCAGAATCTCAGACACTGAATCATAGAATCATAAAATGGTTTGGGTTGGAAGGGACCTTAAAGATCATCTAGTTCCACCCCCCCTGCCATGGGCAGGGACACCTTGCACTAGACCAGGTTGCTCCAAGCCACATCCAGCCTGGCCTTGAAGACATCCAGGGATGGGGCATCCACAACATCTCTGGGCAACCTGTTCCAGTGCCTCACCACCCTCTCTGTGATGAATTTCTTCCTGATATCTAATCTAAACCTCCCTGATTTCAATTTGTACCCGTTACCCCTTGTCCTGTCACTACAGGCCCTTGTAAAAAGTCCTCTCCCAGTACCCTTGTAGCCCCTTCAGATACTGGAAAGCTGCAATGAGGTCTCCTCGGAGCCTCCTCTTCTCCAGGCTGAACAAGCCCAGTTCTCGCAGCCTTTCGTCATAGGAGAGGTGCTCCAGCCCTCTGAGCATCTTCGTGGCCTCCTCTGGACTCGCTCCAAGTGGTCAATATCTGGAGCTACCAGACCAATTTCACCTGATTAATTTACCGCTAGCACCATGACTTTGTGTGTGATGCCTAGGTAATACCTGAGCCACGATGCACTATCACTTGCTTAAATACCTCTCCAGTTTCAGAGGCTCCCATCTTCTTGCGCACTCCAATTGGCCGTACTCTCCAGCAGTTGCTTTTGTCCGGCTGGTGGGTTCTCATTTCAACCGGACCGGCGTAAGAGACTCCGAAAACCCGCCATCACCGCGCTGCGCACGGCTGGGCGCCGGCCTGCCTCGCTCACCGGCTGAGGTGCTGCGAACCTTTCACACGTCCGCCTGCTTGCCTCGGGAGCTCCGAGATGAACCTCCGTCCCACCGGGGTGCTGAGCCGGCTGAAGCTCCAGCAAAACAAGTCCTGGAGGCTCCCGTGGGAAAAAAGCCTTTGCGCCAAAAAATTGTGGAGGAACTGAAACATTATTACAATGGATTCCACTTGCTTTGGATTGACACGAAGGTGGCTGCCAGGATGGTGTGGAGGCTGTTACACGGTCAGGTCCTCTCTAGGAGGGAGAGGCGAAGGGTAAGTGCCAAGCAGACACCATACATTATAAGACTGGCTGTAATGAGAGAAGTTTAACCGCTCGGTTTCCACACTTCTCCGGAACACAGGTTTTGTGCTTCTGGTTGAGTAATAACTTCTGCTGTGCTCTTCTCTGTACAGTTGCTGAGAACCTGCGCAGATCTCTTCCGGCTGGTTCCCTTCCTGGTGTTTGTCATTGTCCCCTTCATGGAATTTCTGTTACCTGTATTCTTGAAACTCTTTCCTGAAATGCTGCCCTCGACGTTCGAGACGGAGTCAAAAAAGGTTGGTGTCCTCTCCGAAGGTGTGCACTGTGTACTCCAGCTCGTTCGCACGTCTGTACAGCTGCATAAAGAGCTGGTGTTTCCTGCCTGCTGGAAATGAGCATCAGCCTCACGCGCACGTCTAGGTCAGAGATTCCTTATTCCTGTGCAGGACAGTGGAATTGGAAGATTGTACTGTAAACTGCAACCAGCAGGACAATGCAAAGCAATTGCATTTTGTACAGTAACCAAAGCTTATTTGCTTTTACTACCAAAGTCTTACATAACCTCTTTCCCAGAATCCCCTCCCTTCTCATTTTCACATGGAATTTCTAATTATGTTTTATTTCCTAAATGAAGGAAGAAAAACAGAAAAAGAAGTTAAATGCAAAGCTGGAATTAGCCAAGTTCCTGCAGGAAACCATTGCAGAGATGGCCAAAAGGAACAAAGCAGATACAGGACAAGGAAAACAATTCTCTTCTTATGTGCACCAGGTAAAATGGGCTCTGCTGGGGATGGCAGCCACAGTACTTACACCAGCTTTAGTGCTGTTTTGGGCAGAGAATGTGGGATTTGTACGAAGATTGCAGAGAGGGTTGACAGCAGAGGGCTGTCCTGTTGGGTGTTACGGTTAACTGGTTACCCTCTTGCAGCTAACACCCTGCTGACAGTAGCTTGTGACCCTGCCTGTCAGAGCTGTACAGATGAGCATTTCCCTCCTGGAACAACAGTCAAAGTCCCACTCTGTGAAATCCTTCAAGTAGCCACTCAAAACCACCGTTTCACTTGGGCCTTTTAACTACGTCATTGCGTTTCCACTGAGAGATGGGAATCTCGGTGTGAGAAACAGGAAGGGCTTCTTCCTGAGAGGTGGAAGAGTATCATAGAATCACAGAACGGTTTGGGTAGGAAGGGACCTTAAAGCCCCGCCAGTGCCAACCCCTGCCATGGGCAGGGACACCTTCCATACACCAGGTTGCTCCAAGCCTCATCCAGCCTGGCCTTGAAGACATCACACACTGTGATTCTCTTTGGGTTTGGCTTTTGGCCCTGACACCTCTGGTCTTTCAGATTCGTCACACCGGCCATCAGCCCAGTACCCAGGAGATCGTACGCTTCTCCAAGCTTTTTGAGGATGAGCTGACCCTGGAACACTTGGAACGGCCACAGCTCGTAGCTCTTTGCAAACTGCTTGAGCTTCAGCCCATTGGCACCAACAATCTGCTCCGCTTTCAGCTTCTGCTGAGACTCCGAACTATCAAGGCAGACGATGAAGTAAGTTTAAAATAGCACAGAAGTAACTGCTTTGGTGGAACACGCGCTTTTTGCCATCAGATGCTGCCCTCTGAACCACAGGCTGCTGCTTTACGTGAGGCGTGTGTCACTGCCGACGCTCTCTCCTTAATATTGATGGGAGTGGAGCTGTCCCCATGAGAGATCCCAGGAAGAAACAGAATGAGGGTTCATCTTCCCGCACCCTTGCTGCCTTTGGTGAACCCTGCCGAGCGTGGCGCTGCAGGTACTGTTTAGAACACCCTTGTACTCTCATTCTACAAATGAAATGGGTACAAATTGAAATCAGGGAGGTTTAGATTAGATATCAGGAAGAAATTCTTCCCGGAGAGGGTGGTGAGGCACTGGGACAGGTTGCCCAGAGAAGCTGTGGATGCCCCATCCCTGGATGTCTTCAAGGCCAGGCTGGATGAGGCTTGGAGCAACCTGGTCTAGTGGAAGGTGTCCCTGCCCATGGCAGGGGGGTTGGAACTAGATGATCTTTAAGGTCCCTTCCAACCCAAACCATTCTACGATTCTATGATTCTAGAATCACAGTAGCCTGTAAAAAAGGAAGGTTCCAGTTCTGCAATTAATACTATGTGGCAACACCAGGTTTTAACCAGCTGAATTCAGTACAAGTTTCTGTTAGTTTATAAAGAGGATGAACTTATTTAGCCTGGAGAAGGCCGAGGGAGAATCTGCCTCCTGATTTCCATTGCCTAATGGGGCTGTTTGGAAAATGGAACCAGACTGTGGGTGCATAGTGAAAGGACAACAGATAACAGTCGTAAGTTGCAGCAAGGCAAATTCCAGCTTGATGATAATAATAATAATAAAGTGGGTAAACAGTGGAAGAGGTTGTCTAGAGGTTGTGAAATCCCCGTCCCTAGGGAGGCTCAGAGCATAAATGGAAAAGGCTGAGCAATGTAAAGAAACTTCTACATTAACCCTCTTTTGAGCAGGAAGTTGGACTGGGGACCTCCAGAGGTCATTCTGTGATCACGTAGGAACTGCAGTTTGAAATGGTGTTGAGAATCCTGTTACGACACAGGGGAAAGACTGGAAAAATTCTTGCTCGTAAGAGTTGGCCAGTTCTGCAAGGTGTGTGCCGCTAACCACAGGGTCAGCTCTAAAGCCTGCAGTTGTGACAGTTCTCAGGAACACCTGCCTTTGAGGGGATTCTTCAAACCTGGAGGGTCTCATGTAAAAGCGAAATTCTCAATACCTGGGGGAAGAACAAAATGATCAAGGTTTTTCATCCTCTGTAGCTGAAGACTGCCCGCTTGCAAGGACAGGATGAATTATCTAGAGGGTTAGTTCTGTCTCAGCTTTGCACTGGTGTGACTTCATGCACGTTTACCCCAACAGACATCTGTTTGGGCTCAAGCTCCTCAAGTACGCCAGGTTTTGGCTCACTGTGTGCCTAGGTAGAACCTTTCCTTCTCGTTTCAGATGATTGCCAAGGAAGGAGTCAATGGCCTGAGTGTGTCAGAACTGCAGAGCGCATGCAGAGCCAGAGGAATGCGGTCACTGGGGCTCTCAGAGGAGCAGCTAAAGGAACAGCTCAGACAGGCAAGTACGCTCTGCTCTGGGCTCTTGACGAGGTGTCTCCTCGGACAGTGGCGTGCCGTGTTCAGACGGAGCAGGCAGTTTGACTACGAGTTCATGCCAGTGTTTCTGGGTGGATCCTCCCCTGCATAGCTGTGCTTTAAGGCATGAAGCGTCCAGATTACGTCTTAGACTGAAGAGAAAACCAAGTAGCACCAGGGCCAGCTAGAAGGAAGGTGAAGTGGGGGGTGGCATATGTTTTAAGCTTCTAAAGTAGCCCAGACTTGTAGTGGAGCCAACACTAGTCTTTTATAAGCATCCAGACATGACAGATCCTGCTGTAGGTGCTGTATTTCAGATAAGCTGTACAGAATTCAAAGCACTTCCCTTTCACTGTTGGCTGTTGGTCAGTAGCGATGTTGGTACCTCACTAGAGCCGGAAACTTCCTCTCCAGTGTGTATTCCATGTAGAGTTCTCAGCTCTTCAAAACTGTTTCTTCTCATTGTGATAACTTAGAACTGTATTAGCCAAACCCAGGACAGCTTTCTGATCTTTGTCCTTAAAGAGCGCTGTATAAGTAAGTGCTGATGTAGAGCCAGCATGGAATAACTTCTCCCTCTGTTTTCTTCCAACAGTGGCTGGATCTGCATTTAAAAGAGAATGTTCCACCTTCTCTGCTCCTGCTTTCCCGTGCCTTGTACTTAATAGATATAAAGCCACAATCCGTTCCCGTTCCACAAAATAAGGTGAGGTATCTGAATAAAACTTTCAGGTTAATAGTTTAACCATTACACATTATAAAAATGAAGCACTGTGACATGAGACCTGTTCTTTGATCCTCTGAGTGGACTGGAGTTAGAACTGCGCTGAACTGTGTGTTCTTCCCTAGATCGGAGAAACTGCTGAAATCGTGACATCCCTTCCCGAAGGTCGAGAGACCCTGGAGGATCCTGCCCCCATTGCACAGGGGAGAAAGGTTAGAAAATAGCAATCCGCCTGTAGGAAACCGAGCACGTAGTGCTGGAAGCTTTGGGAAGAAAAATTCTGAAGCTAGACAAAGCCCAGTGTTGACACCATCGCTTTGCCCGAGAGCCTCACGAGTTGCGTGCTCTGATTTAAGAGGTGATGAAAGGGTACGGCGAGCCACTGTGGCACATCTTGTCCTGCTGCTTGAAACAGCCCGTTAATCAGTACCCTAGTACTGGCTTCCATGAGGAGCGCTCACAAGCTCCTCAGTTGCTGTAGTCACATAAACACGGAGACTTCAAGCCAGGTACCTTTAGCTCTGAGAAGCCAGTTAAAGGTTTTCAGCTCTAGTGAGCTTGGGCTGAGTTGTCCAGGGCAAAAAGAGCCAAAATATCTAGAGTAAGAAAACCAGAGCGCGTGGTTCTTGGTGTAAGGCTGAGGTGAATTCATTGATTAGTCCAAGCTGATAAAAGCAGCAGCAGAAATTAAAGGAGAATATTGTCTCAACCACTGGAAATGTTTCCAAATAGCTCTGTTAAATTGCATAGGGGAAATGATGGAAATGATGACATTCAGCTTTCACAGCGTGGCAGGGAAGGGCCTAATTTGGAATGGAGAAGGAACTGTACAGGGTCAAGGTAGAGCTGTGTTTTCCGAGAGGGTTCTGTGACTTACAGCTGTTTTTTCCTTAAAGAATGAAGAATTTGTGTCTCAGCCACTGGAGAACTTGCCAGACTCAGGAGCGTCACTTAAGCCTCCCCCACAAGAGGTAAACTTTTCAAAATTCTAGATTGTTCTTCTCCCCACCTACAGGCAAACTGTGGAAATTTGTGCTACAAGGTGTTGTGAATTTTGAGTTTAAGGAGTGACTGGAGAAATTGTGGATGGGCTGTGCTGAGGGGCTGTTAAATACAAAAATACCACCCACATGAGACTGAGACTGCAGTTAAATTGGGGCAGGCAGCAGAGTGTTGTGGGAATGTCCTTTGTGCTCTTCCTTCATAGGGTTCAGAGGGCCGGAGCACCTCTCCTGTGAAGAAAGGCTGAGAGAACTGGGCTTGTTCAGCCTGGAGAAGGGAAGGCTCCAGGGAGACCTTATAGCAGCTTCCAGTGCCTGAAGGGGCTACAAGGGAGCTGGGGGGGACTTATTACAAGGGCCTGTAGTGACAGGACAATGGATAACAGGTTTAAACTGGAAGAGGGAGATGGAGATTGCCCATTTTCTCTCTGTGAATATTTGATTTCAATTTAGCTGCACGCCTTTACATCTAGCCTGCACGCTTAAGGCAAGTTTGGGAGTCCAATGGACTTTCATCAACAGGACAACATGCCTTTACCCTGAAGAGCTTTGTTCTTAGTCAGCTCTTGTTCTCCAGAGCAGCTTCCCAAAGTAAACGGGAAGATCCCAGTCTTCAGCAAAGGTTTTGAATTTCAAGAAGCATGTGTATTGTTACTGCCTAAAATCTGCTCCTTTCCCT